AACTGAAGTTCAGGAGGACAACACTCTCAGAAATAAAGAGAAAGATACAGCTACAACTTTCGAACCTGTCCCTACTGAAAATATTTCGAAGGTATCTTCTCCTCCAACCTCGTCCATTTTGAAAAAAAAAAATTATAACATTATGCAGAATCCATTTCTGACTCTCACCACATCTCCTCCCCCACCTCCATTCATTCCACCAAGATCACAAATAACAACCTCATCAATCATCTCCATAATTTCGATAACATCCATCCATCCTCTACCACCAACGATTTCTGTTAAAACATCACTTCCTCAAGTCTCAATACCATTTTCCTCACCCATCTTTATAGACTCAACAGTTCTGACAACATCAATAGTTTCTACTCCACCAGAACTTCCGATAATCAAATCCGTTTCGGAGGAGATTCAGACTTCAGCCATCCATGGCAATACACCTGATGTGGGGCCAAATGCTACCATTGGTGTGACTTCCGAACAACCTTCAACTTCAGTTCCTCCAGTTGATGATGATAATGAGATATTATTTTGCGATGATCAAGAACCAATGGCAGAGTTTGTCTTTCATCCATTATCTGTAAATCTTTCCAGTGATGATGATGAAGCCCCTATGATGAAAGGCCAATTCAAGCAGTTGAATGAGAAGCTTGATTCAATCTTGGAGTATTCCCATGCCTTCTCTTCTACAAAATGAGAAAATCTTCTCACCATCCATCGAGCAACTGTAGAAATGCTCACATCTTCAAATGTCAAAGTCATTGAAGAATCATCAAAAGCAGCTCAAGCTTCCGAAAAGAGGATAACATAAGCTTCTGAAAAGGTCCAGCAGTTACAAAATGAAGTTAAGGAATTTATGGCTAACTTCAGGATATCTTCTGATAAAAATACAGCTGACATGAACAAAGTCAACAAAGGCTTCCGATCTTCCTTGAATGTTGAAAAAAAAGCTCTCTCAACCCTCCGTGCAGACATTAAGCTTGACAATGTTGAGCTTAATTTATCAATTTCTGAAAAGCTTAACAAGTTACAAAATGGATTGGCTGCTGAAAACAAGATTATGGATGCATTGGCCAAACAGGCGCAGAAAACGAAGGTTCTTACTGAAAAGTTGAAGAATGCTTCAACCAATATTGCCAAACTTGAAGAAGAGCGATCTTTGGTGAAAGAATGCACTTCTGAAATCAATCAGCTCTTGTTGTGTCTCATTGAAACTCCCATTCCTTGTTCACTGTCTCTGTTAGACAGAACCTCTCTAAAAACCCTCAACTTGTATTCGCAATGCTGAATCAACTACAGGGTGTTTCGGGAAGCGGGGATTCTGCAAAACAAGGGGGGACGAGGAAGAAACTTTAAAGAATGAGACTGATCGGAAGGATAATGAAGCTTCCAGATCAGTTTAAGATAAAGGTAAATGTATTTCTGAAGAAGAATATGATGAAGATGCGAATATGATTGAATAGGAAAGAGCGGAAAGAGAGAAAAGAGACAAAGAGCTTGACGAACTCAATGTTCTTCGGAAGAAACTTGAGGCAGAAGAAGTTGAAGCCAAGAATGCGAAACTAATTCTTGAAACTTAGAAATCCTTGTTTGATGCCTGGTCTCTTGAGCACATACAGAAAGAAGCCATTGGTGATCCGAATCTCTACTGGCTAGAGCCAACAATCTTGTTCGACATAAATAATGATGTGGAGTGTCAATTTTATTTTCCAATCACTCCAATGGTATTTCTCTTCAGGTGGTTTGAAAAGATCGAGAAATCCGTGATCTCTGATAATGTAGTAAACTGAAAGCTCTTTTCGTTTTACTTGAAACATGCGAAACTACAATATGAGACATGGAGCTTAAAGAGAATTATGGCATTGAAGGTTGGATTGTCGGTTCATACTTAAAACTTCTTGAATATTCAGTTCAAAGGATTCCGAGGTGCCAATCACATTCTTCATGAGCTCACTTTGGCTGATTTGCCATTCATGAACCCTTATGATTGGTTATCTCTGTTTTATATCGTGACGAAAGATGTCAAGAAATATGAGCCAATTTTTGAACACTTGAAGCGAACGATCAAGTGTTACATCTTTGAAATTGCAAAAAAGGGATGTTGAGATCGCTTCTGTTCTGAAGAAGAGGCCAATTATGAAGCCAGAAGAACAACCAGAAGACATCCAACATTTTGAAGGTAGGGATCATTCGGAAGAAGCATTGGAGCATTGTTTACAAAAGGAATGAAGGTGAAGTGATCTAGAACTGCATGTTCTTCTTAAGGGATAAACACTTGTATTCCACAACTGCTTTAAAACGATCTTATCCTCGGTTGAAGCTAACAAAGCCAATTCTACTGCCGACGTGAAATGTGTTTCGGATATGGTTCGTTGGTACTTATCTTTCCGGACATCTCTTCTGAAGATCATGCCAAAGATTTTTTACGCGCAAAGACAATGATGAAGTCCTCTTTCCGTTTTGACACAAAGGGGGAGACTGTTAAGTCTAAGTTAGTGTTGTGTCAAATGTTCAGTTTCGGATTTATGTTTAGATTCTGATTCCGAAATGGGTATGCCCATGTTTGGAATTGTTGTATGATTTAGTCTATAAATAGTGTGCATGTATCTTCTAGGGTTAACAACTTTTGAAGCAAGTGCATAATAGTTTTGCCTCTGTGAACTATTCTATTACTGTGATTAATACATTCGACACCATTTCAATCATTGTCGTTTCTTGTCTTTAATTCATCTCATAAATATAGAATCTATCGATCATTTATTGTTCCTAACATACATACAAGCCTACAGTCTGCCTGGACCGCCTCACAAGGCCTACATGGTACCTGGACCGCTCTACCGAAGCCTATAATCTATAGCCCACCTCACAAGGCCTATAGTATTTTGGCCCGCTCTCGAGCCTACATCATAAGGCTGGACCGCTCCTTTAGGCCTACAGTGTCAATTGGACCGCCCGAGTATCTTAGCCTTTAGCACCAAGCAGGACCGCCTCAACCCAACAAAACAATAATATGTCGACATATACAACGATAACCAAAAGCCAGCAAGTACATGTAATCATACAGATCTACCAATCTAACATATAAACAGAGAATACAGGTAATCATACAGATTTAACAGACTAACATATAATCAATATAGCATCATCCCATATACCAGGATGTATAATCTAGTGGTCCGACATTGGTTCCTTCGACCCACGAGTATAGTGAGGAAAACTCACCTCAATGTCCGAAAGATGGCTGAACTGAACGTTGCTCCAAATACAGACTCTAAAGGTCACCTATACCACAAACAGGGACCAAGTTTCAATCTAATACTCAAATCACTCTATTTGACCTAAAGTAAACTTGTTCAATGGCCAATGGTCAAAATCCTCACTCAAAAGTCACACAGCTAGCCATCACGTCGTGACCATATTGTGGTCACGTCCTGACCTAATAAGACAAGATAATCGGGATATTCCAATCTCCCATTGTGAGCCACAAATCTCACATCGTGAGAAGCGTTATGAATCACTTGACGCATTAAGCCCTTAATTCTTTTAGATAAGCAACCAAAACTTCCAGAATGTCTTATCTACATAAAAAAATCATAAAGATCGTGGCTTTTTGACATGCATGTCCGATACATGTCTCAAACACAAACTAGGGCACAAAAAGGAAGAAATTGAATAAGAAGCTCATACAAGAATCTCAAAACTCAACCATACTTCAGATCTAACACTTATTTCATCAAAGGGACACCGGAGATACATAAAGTTGACAACTTTATGGATCCCAAATACTAAATCATCTTATATATTAATGATAATGTATAAAAACCTAGATCTAAGCTTATTAAGTCATATAACATTGAACTTAGAAAACTCACAAAGGTCCAGAAGGTGTGAAGATGAATGATGGTGAGGCTTGAATGTTAAGATGGAGTACTAGATGCCCTTCCTCTTCTCCTTCTTTGCTAGAAATCACCACAAATGAGCTCAAATCAATTATGGGGCTGCTAGGGTTTCAAAGGGGAGTATTAGGAAGTGATGGAGGTTGAGGGTGAGCTAAACCTAGCCCTCACTTCCTTTAAATACGGAATAAATCCCCAAAAATTAGGGTTTCCCCGCAGCCAGGTCTCACGTCGTGAGCCATAAGGGCTCACGTCGTGAGAAGCGAAAACATGCATGTTTCTTCCAACTAGGGTCACGTCATGACACCCTAGGGCTCACGTCGTGACCAGGGTTTAAACATTAAAATTAAATCAGAATCTCCAAAATGGTGCTTACCTGGAACTGGGTATTACAAGAGCGATGGAGTGGATAAGGGAAAATAGTATTTTTAAAGCCATTTGGATCGTATGGTTAAAAAAATTAAGGACTAAATGTGAAGGTTACCCCAAATCACAAGGATTATTTGTATAATTTACTCTAAAATAATTTATGTAAGTAGTTTAGTCATGGAGGAAAAGTATAAAAAGTAGTAGTTTTTGGATTTTTTAATAAATGATAATAAAAAATTAAAGCGGCTAAAATCAGAAAAATAAACAAGTTCAGTAACCAATGATAGTTTAAACAAAGTATAATGACTAAAATAAAACACATAGAAAAGTTCAATGACTGATTATGACCCTGACAACGTTATTGGATATTATACACCGGTTATCACCGGTTAAAGTGACTAAAATAAACAAAAATAAATAAGTTCAATGATAGCTAAAACAAAATATACTGACCAAAATAAAACATCTAAAAAGGTTAAATGATTAAAAATAACCTAAACCCTAACTATAAATTGTATATATATCACAAAACATGTTGAATAATAGTGATAATAATAAAAAGATAATACTAATAATAAATATAAATAATAAAAATGATACTATTATGCATGAGAGGTGTGACATGACCATATATGAAATGTAGAAACTTGACAAGACAAAGAAGAAAAAGGAAGCAAATAATTTGTGATTGAATATTTGTGATTATTACATTATCAACTACCAACTAGCAAAAGCCATATAAATAAATAACATAAATTGGAAAATTACATAAAGACCCTTTAAGAAACCATCTATTACAATTATATATCCATAGGAAAGCAAAAACTTTTGGGAGTTGACCAAGTTGCAGTCACAAGTGAGGAGTCATTGACCTTAGTTTGACCATAGAGATGATGATGATCAAGAAAGCATGTACGAAAACAACTTGTAAACCATGGCAACTATGACTACAAATATGATCTGATCAGTTATGGAGATTGAGTCATGTTTGTCAACCACATCATTTAGGCATGAAGGTGAACACTTGAGTTCAATGGAGAATGCTCCTTTCTCATCTTGAATATCTGGTTCTATGTTTATCTCCCCAAATGCAGATCTGAACTCTCCATAGCTCCATTCCTAAATTTACTCATTCATTCATCATCAAATTCAGACATTGTTAGCTCGATGCTGATTGATTCTTTTATACTTAATGGACATAATGAGGATAATAACTTAATAAATCTATGGGTTTAAGAATTTAATCTGGACAATTATAGATAGTTGTTTCTTTTTTACCTAATCTGGACATAATGACATAATGTCTTTTGCACAAAAATGAAACTAAATTATTAATAGTGTGAAATTTGTTTTTAAAGGCAAAATGATTATTTTATCTCTAAAAAGGACACATACCTTGTGTGTATAACATTGTATCTGGATATAGATCAGATCATTATCCATTTAGCTACTTTATTCATTACTCATTTAGCTACTTTATTCATACACGACTTAATGGGGGGAAACAGAAACAACCCCTTATTTGGTAAGTTATATATCGATGTTGTTATTAAATGTGATGTAGAATGATTTCATGGAAATACGAATTTCCCCACTAAGGGCCCATTTGATTGTTGTGTTGTCTGAGAAAGTTTACTAAGTGGGAAAGAAATCATGTTGTTTGATTGTATATCTGACTTGACTAGCTGTGCTGAATGATGAAACATGACCATATAGCCAGAAAGATATGGTTTTGGGCTTTCTGGCAAAGACATGTCTTACCGGGAAAGATCAATTTTTTTGTGCAAATCAAACAGTCTTTCTGACCCATTCAGTCAGAAAGATATGTTTGGACTTGGAAATATGTCTGTCAAACGGGATCTAAGTCCTTTCTCTCTTCTTCTTTTTTTTTCTTTTTTCTTTTTTTCTTTTTTTAATATTTGCTTTATTTATTTTCTTTTTCTCTAAGTATTTCGTAAACATTATTTATCTAGACAAACATTGTATCCAAACTAGTTATAAATATAGAGCCATTGATATTCTCTTCCAAATGTAGAGTCAGTCGGACATGTTTATGTTTAGCTGAGGCGGGACACTGGAAATGGCGATCGGACAATGTGCAACATGAAATATTTTGTTTTTATGCATAAAGCTTAAACGAAAAAATTACCTCCATTTGTTCACCGACAGTGATGACAATTGTGTTAGGGATGGTACGGAATGACACCGGTCCTTCCTCAGATATGAGACGGAATTCGCCTTGCTCAGTTGGGATATGAATGCTCAGAGCAAATGTGGCATTATCCCGTCTATTTCCATCCAATGAGCGTGGAGTTTGAGATGAACGTGGTGTGTGTGGTTGAAGAGACGAGTTATTATGCTTGAATAACACCATTCGAGTTTCATTTTCCTTTATTTTCTTTCGTGGTTGCTTTCCACCATTCGTCCCTATAGCTTGAGCCATATCTTTCGCAATTGCTTCCAGCTTATTCGCAACATTATCCATCTTTGATCTACAAATATATACAACAAGAGTCACAAATCAACTTATTTACACATTAATCCTAAAGTTATGTACAATATTTAAGCAATAGATCTTTGCAAGAGTCACAAATTTCAATATGGATTTGACTTTTTGTGGGCATTAGGATCTTATGTGTACCTGATTTACATCCACACGAATGTGTACCTAATTTACATCCACACGAATGTTCTTGATGCAAGAATAACATTTTTGCATAATTACAAGCTATATGTCGCTAAATACTACATTGTTGATAATCTTTCTAAATGCGCAAGGTCTTTTTATCGCTAAAGAATAAATAATGAAGTAAATTACAAAGCCTTATCATTTGTTGATAGATCATAAACATGTTTGGATCATCCCCAAATAACCTACATTTGTTTTGAAACATTCTACAGATAAAATGTCAATGATCTGTAATAAATCAAATGCACAATTCACATATTTATGGAATTGATCTATGGAAAAAAAATCGATTTGTTAATAAAACGGAAACGAAAAACGAAAAATGAAGAAGCTGATGAGGATACGAAGAACAAACCTGAATTTCAGAAAATTCTCATCATTCTTAACGTCACGCCGTCGTTCAGCCACCGCCATGGCAGATCGAGACCAAGCAAACTCCTCCCGATCTCCATCACGGCTCCACCTCTCCGCAAGCAATCCAAAGATGAAATCCGCCTCCGTGAACGACGCATTCAGCTCCTCAGGCGATATCCCATGGCCACTGACACGAAACATCCCAAACTTAGCGGCGGACTCCATCATCTGCTGGATCGAATTCTTATCCTTAGCTTTGATCAGCTTGTATTCAACCTCTGCAATAGGCGGTCGATTGGAGTCATCAGTCGTATCAAATTCGGGAATGTTCTTCAATTTGTCGACGTAATTGTTGAAAGAAGGGTCGTTGCGAGTAGGCCTGGAATTGGGCATCGGAGATGGAGGTTGCGCCGGTCCCCCTGTGGAGAGGCGACTCCTAATCCGAGCGATTGCCATTATTGGGAGATTGTTATGGGAAATTCTGAGATCAAATGGGAGAGAAAATGAGAAGAAGATGTGAAATATAGTTATTGCATGGACCGTTTTGTGCGATGTCGGGGTGGTTGGCACGTCTCCATGCATAGATTACTTGTACCTTCGTATGCATGGCGTATTTGTACTTTATAAACGAACATCTGGACCGGGTTTACCGGATGTTCCTACGTTTTTTTATTTAGAAATATATATATTTAGAGTAAATGCTAGATCGCATTAAGAAAAGGTTAATCCTATACATTGTCTATAAAATAGATATATCGACAGATAATTTGATTTATTAAAAATGCATTTTATAAAATAGTTAACAAAATATTACAGAAAAGCCCTTAAGTTTGTCAAAAATTGAAGATTTTACTTTAACATCATATTTATGTGCATAGACGCCTTAAACGTGCAATTTCTTTACACATTGAGAAGGCAAAAACGTCTATGCACATCAATTTCACGTATTTGATTGGAGTTGCAAAGCTTGGATATTTAGAAGTAATCTTCACGCAAATTGGGGTTTAAGAGGAAACAAAGTGATACAATTGTGGTAAGGGGCGGAGTCAAAAAAAAATTTTAGGGTGTTCCTTCTAAAATAATATATATATATATATATATATATATATATATATATATATTATATATATATATATATATATATATATATATATATTATATAGATATATATATATATATGTGGTATTTTGAAGACCCTATCTAAAAAGTGAAAATTGGCCCTTAAATATAATTTTTTTTATATACAAGAAAAATAAATTGAAAAAGAACAACTAAAAACTAAATTAAATTAGCTAAAAATTGAATTGTGCAAATTTATAAAATTTAAGGTGTAAAATATGCAAAATTTGAAAACTAAATTACTAAAAGAATTTAACTTCTAAATATGAGGGGGCCAACATGTAACTTTAGAAATGAATTCCTTAAAAAAAACGTGATGAAATGGAATTTGCAGTGGTTTGGGAAAGAGGTAAGGCAGCATAATTTCTTAAATAACTTCTTAAAAAAAAAAAATTGAGGGGGGGCCTGGGCCTACCCTGGTCCTAGGGTGGCTCCGCCCTTGATTGTGGTATAGTTTCAAGATTCAGAGCAAAAGTTGGGTAATTGAAAGTGTTGGGTGAAGATATACATGCACAATGTACGTTCTTTTGTGATGTAATTTTCGAATTTTTTTTTTTCGATGGCAACAATTATTTTCATAGATTTTATGTTTGTTTCAAAAAGCATCGAGTGATGGATGGAAGATAGGTTGTAGAAGAATGATCGATTTTATGTTTTCTCAATAGATTGGGTTGTTGTTGATGTGGAAAGGAAATCTCCAGAAAAGTCATAAAATTTTACTATAATTTACGAAAAAGTCTCAAACTAAATTTTGTTTACGAAAAAGCATGAATTACCGGTAAAAATAGCGATTTGACCCCTTTTTCCCGGTTTACCGGTTTCATTACCTACCTGTTGCATTAAAGTCCCATTATTTTATCCTAATTTACGAATAAGTCCTAAACTAAAATTTAGTGATGATCTGGCCATTTTCTCTATGTAACATACATTTTACTGGTTTCATTGCTAACCCGGACGCCTAGTCATTAAATTAGATGATGAGATGGATATGTTGAGTTATATAATGCTATGTTTAGCATTAAACTTGATATCCTGATGTATTGTATATTCTTTTGGAACATAAAATGCATCCAACAAAGACTGCAATAATTACATAAACTAGCAACAACTGCGTTATTTTTTACGTTATTAAGAAATATCATATTGTCTATCCATCTCATGAGACATCAACTCATTTTCTGCCCTTTTTTCCTGGAAACACACATTTTATTGGTTTCATTGTTGACCTAGATACATAGTCATAAATGAGCCGATGAGATGGATATCAAATTTTACAGTAAATGTAGCATTATATAACCCATCGTATCCATCTTATCAGCTAATTTAATGACTAGGTGTCTAAGTCAGCAATGAAACCGATAAAATGTATGTTACATGAAGAAAAGGGTCAAATCATCACAAAATTTTAGTTTGGGACTTATTCGCAAATTAGGGTAAAATAATGGGACTTTAGTGAAACTGGTAAGTAATGAAACCGGTAAACCGGAAAAAAAGGGTCAAATCGCCATTTTTACGGGTAATTCATGCTTTTTCGTAAACAAATTTTAATTTTGGACTTTTTCGTAAATTAGGGTAAAATTTTAGGACTTTTCTGGAGATTTCCCATGTGGAAAAATGCCCAACTAAACCTTGTTCTTCTCGAGAGTAGATCCTTGAGTTTTTTTCCCCTTCTTTTAGCATAAGTATCATTTATTTAGAAATGGTATTAGTTGTGTACTCCCCTAACTGGCATCCAACTGAGCTTAAACAATCCACATCAACAAAGCTCTCAAGTTAAATGGGGTTATGAATAAGGCAATTATAAAGGTTACTATCACATGTGATGTGAAACTTATGATAGAGGCATGTAGTGAAGATGACATCTATTCCTCTCATTTTTGGAGTAAGTTATTGGCAGGATCCTTAATAGACTCAAATAGATGTGAGTGTATGGTTGTACAAAAACAATATTGACATGATGGTCAATAAGTATGTTATCTTATTTGAATTTTCAAAACGAGAAACCAATATTGAACTTATATGAGAATGATATGATCCATGCATCATGTTCGATAATATCAACAAAATGAGATAAGATGATAACATATATACCATTAAATATTTTAATGAATTTTTGTAGAAACAAATATCCGTGTATAGTTAAAAGAGATGAGCTTTGCTAGACATTTATCATATATTTGATTAATTTTGTTCCTTGTATAAGTGGGAGTCTGTTGGATACGATGTACAAGATTTAAAGGATTTACTACAATAATAATTATATATGAGCACATACAAAGAACATTAAAAGATGTGACATAAGTAATATACTTGTAGGTGATAAATTTATTATTTACACACCAAAATAGATACATAAATAATTTGTTATTTATTATTTACTAAATAACACAAATGAATAAAAGAGTTAATTTAGTAGTTAAATAAATGAGTTTATTTTATAAATCCAGCTTATTAATTAGAAGTAATTAATTAAGTTTGTTATGTGTGTTAGCTGTTCTAAAAGAATTTAATTAACTAGCAATAGTTTGTATTACAAACATTTGTGTGGATACGTACAGAGGTGATCTGATTGATCACTATCTATTACATCAAAGTTTTGATGAACATTCTAAGCTTCCTATGGTATATTCTTGGTTGATTAAATTTGACCAAATCCGGTTTTGGAAATAAAAAAATGTTGATCTGTTAGATCTTTGACCCCTCAATACAAAAAATAAATCCTATAAAGAAAATTCTTCTATGAGTGTTTTTCATCCACATTTCGATTTTTGGGTTGGATGACATTATATCTCTAATGATTTTGATATTTGCTGTGAAATTTCACATTTTCTAGTGGTCAGAGTTTTTGGATTTCGTATTGAATAGTTTAATATTGATTTCGTTTTAAATCACGACATGGGTATAAAAAACACAAAAAACAATATTTATTTTGTTCATTTTATAATTATGACAAATAACAATAGTTGCATATAAAGAAACAAAAAGTGGTATGAAAAGCACAAAAAATTGATCTAGAACCTAGGTGTAAAAATGAAGTTTAACAATCATTTTAGAAAACTATATAACCATCAACATCACTAACGACCAATGATAAAAGGTGTAAGTAACACAATATTATTTAAGAACGTTAACATATGAACGCTATTATGTTTTAGAAAACGATTATTTTGTTTTAAAAAAAATATATATGTGAAGTATGACGAACGGTATTAAATCATCAACACCATATACCCTCATTAATCGGTTTCATAACCACCATGTGATAAAAAAAAATGTAACATTTCAAACAAACAAAAAAAACTTATCAATCATCACATCCTTACAACAGCATTGTAAAAAAATATCCAACTAAAAATAATTTATAATTTACAAGTCAATTCCAAAAAAAAAAAAAAAAAAAAAAAAAAAAAAAAAAAAAACAATCATCTTTCCAAGTATACCAAAATTCTTGTAAGATCACTATTGGCAACACAATACAATGTCACATTCAACTAAAAAGGGTAAACACTACCCCTAAACATCCCCAAACCGGTCCCACATCCAACACGGATAAAGATAAATCACATTGCCCCCAAAACAAAAGCAAGAATTGTAAAGTCACATCTAGCCTTTAACCTAAGACTTCCCTTATAGATTCTCACCTCCTTTTAACATATGGGCACACATACACAACACATTTTATGTTACCTACAAAAATTTGAGATGTTCACCAGAAAAAAAAAATATAACATTCTATGCATATATATATTACATGCACAACAACGAACCACCAAAAAAAAACAAAAATCCAGCTGTCAAAAACCGAAACATCTTCCGGATATATATCGGTTAGGAAAGAGGCGGGAAATCTTCTTCGTCTTTTAGATGATACGAGGATTGTACATTAAACCTAAAATGATTTCAAATAAAAATATAAAAACGCGTGAAAGATTTAGATTTAGATTTAGATGAAATCAAACGTTTTTATGTAACTTTTTTTTTTGTTTAAGAAATGATGATACATTTCCTATATACCTATCCATACCAGAAACGGGTCTGGGTCTCGGGGATCCGTTTCGGTTCGGGTTTTGGTGTCGCCTTCTGTGTGACAAAGGCTCTCTTGGTTGTTGCATAGGGCGGCTAACCGATTCGGTTGGGGTGGTGAAATCGGTGGGCCCCACGTTTGTGTTTGTTGCATTTGATGTTGAAGTGTGGTATCCATGTCGAGATCGATTATTATTCTGAAAGATTTAAATAGTTTAAAATAAGGGAAATCACAGATAAAGTCTCAATATTTTGGGTCAGTTTATGGTTTAATCCAAACTTTTATTTTTTGAACAAAAAAATCCGGATTATTTTATATTTTGCCCAAATTAACGAAACAGACCTTATTTTTTTTTCAACATAAAATGACAGATTATCATATAGAATTAGATAATTGAGACTTTTCTGTTCAAAAAATAAAAGTCGGGATTAAACTATAAGCTGACCCAAAATATTGGGACTTTATCTGAGATTTCCCTTAAGATAAATGTTAAATGCAAGAAATAGCAATGTACTAATGTAGTTTTATTGATTTGTTTATTATCGTTATAATGGTTGAGGCACTTTTTTTTTTAATCTTTGATTCTCTTCTACGTGCAAAAAGACATAAATGCCCTCAACCCTCCTCATTTTAAATATCTAAATATCCCTAGAAAGCTTGTCTTGTCCCATGTAACAAAAGCATGACTTATTTATGCAAATGAAGTTACTCTTTTTACCAATTTATAAAAAAAATATTTACCGTATCGGGAAAGTACGAAATCGCCCCTCTTCGGTCATTTGGAACAAAAGGCGGTGGTGGTGGTGGTGGGTGGTGGTGGAACCGTGGATGGCGGACAACACCATTCATGCCGCCATGTTCCGATGCAATCATACTCAATAAAATAGGCGGCGGCGGTGGTGGTGGCTGTGGCCCCATCATGGGCGGCAGTGGACCCAAAACATAAGTATTCCACCACCGGACATGATCTAAACACACCAAATGAGACATCAAATCTCCTGTGAGATCCAACGGCTCAGATTGACCTAAATTTACACCACCTTCAATCACTTCCGATTCATTTTCATCAACAATTTCGTCTTTTTCCGTCTTATGATTAACCAACTTTGAGTAATTAAATAAAAGATGTGGGGCATAAAACGGTATAACAACTTCTCCTTCATTCGCAAGGGCAGAAACGTCTTTTTCCTCGTTGGAAATCGGGTTCCCTGGAGACCCGTTTTCATCGTTAGAGGTTCTTGTTGTTTGAGTTGTGGGAAATGACTTTTCTGCCCTTGGAATATGATCGGGAAGATCGGGTCTTTGACCACTTCCATGCATGTTTAATGTATTTGAGAAGAAAGAAAGAAGCTCATTGGAGAGTTTATCTTCAGGAGCCACGAGGATTTGTTCGAGTTTTCGTGCCCCATAATTAAATGCACTTCGGATACGAAAAAAATTTCCTGAAAAAATAAATAGTTGGTTTTTCAAAGATATAGAAAAATGGAATTTGATTGATTTGTTTTAAAAGACGTAAATGCCCTTTAGAGCCTCATCATCAAAAATAAGCATACCTTGGCTAACACTACGCCCGAGGTTATTATGGTCATTTAACGGGTCAACAATATTAAGATGCTTTTTGAAAAATAAATCACCAGGTCTCATGGGAACTGAAAACTTCTCAGAACAATGCCTAAGAAAACCGACTTCAAGCAATAGATCATTGCTATTTGGTGGTCTCTCAACTGCAAATTCAAAAAAAAAAAAAAAAAAAAAAATCAAAAATCAAAAATAACAAACACAATATTAAAAAGATTAACATGGAAAAAAGAACAATGTACTTTCATTTTTTGTTGGGTTAATCTCATAAAAGACCTTATATTTTGTGTTTTTCTCCGGATTAAACCTCAAATTTATTTTTTGCATGAAAAAAATCTTGTAGTTTTTCATTTTTTCCGAAAAAGCCCTCAACTTTGTATTTTTTTTTCCGAATAAAACCCTCAACCTTCTAAATGCTTCCAAATAAACTCTCAACTTTTTTTGTTTTTCTCGAAAAAGCCCTCATATTTTACAATTTTTGTGGAAAAAAAATGACCAAAAGGGTCGGATCAAAAAAAAAAAAATGAAAAAACACAAGGTCTTTTTCGGGCAAAAAATAAATTTGAGGTTTAATCCGGAAAAAACACAAAATATAAGGTCTTTTATGAGATTAACCCTAATTTGTTTATTGTAAATTCCACCCAATTATAGCAATGTCATCCAAATAAAAAGAAAATTTTGATTTAAAACTACAATGCTATAATCGGGTAGAATTGTCAAAGTACAATGCCTTAATAAAAAAGGGTGAAAGTAAGATGCTATAAAACATACAAAAATGAAAGTATGTTGCTATTTCTTCCATTTATCACAAAAAGTAAACACTGACAATGGTAATATTTAAACTCACCTACGATTCTTGGCAACTCTGATAATCTAATGGGGCCCATTAAACTGATACCATATTTATCCCAATCAAACGTACTGAAATACTCCAAGAATTTATATAAAACCTGTTGTATTTAAGCAACATGATAATTGAATTTCAAGGGCGATTCTGGTATTTTGAATACTTTGAAAGGGAATTTTATTTGAAAACTTACGGAGAGGGGCCCGTCTAATGATGTATGAAAGACATGAAAGATATAAAGAACTAAAGTCTCTAATCCGTATGTTGATATTAAACCAACATGTGCACCAAGTGTTCGACTCTCGAAATAGCACCATGCTTTTATTAAAATTATGCTTCTTTTGAAAAGATGGTCTTTCTTGATTACGCGATCCACCTGCACAATCAAAATAATGCTTAACAGACAGTGACAGTAACAGTAACACTGACAGACAGGTGACAGTGACAGTGACAGTGACAGTGACAGTGACAGTGACAGTGACAGTGACAGTGACAGTGACAGTGACGATTGTCTTTTTGTCTAAAACCGAAAGAAAAGAAAAATAAACAATTAGGTTTCCATCGTGTTTTTCTTTTGTTTTTGTTTTTGTTTTTTGTTTTTTGATTCGATGAAATTGGTTTTTAGTTGCATAAAACAATAAAAAGTGACAAAAAGAATAAATGAACTTGGTGGAGCCAAAATACATGAAAGCATGAAGTTGAATTTTGCAATATATGATAGGATAAAAGATTCTAAAAAATTAGGGTTAGTTACATAAAAGACCCTATATATTGGGTTCTTTTTTGGATTAAAACTCGATTTTATTTTATTTTCTAAAAAAGGCCTTACATCTTTCCATTTTTTTTTTATTTGGCTTACATTTTTTTATTTTTTTGGATTAAACATTAACTTTATTTTTTTTTCTAAAATATCCCTTACATCTTTGTGTAAAAACGGAAGATTGCTGGTAAACCTGCTAAAAGGGCCAAATAAAAAAATGGAAAATGTAAGGACTTTTTTAGGAAAAAAAATAATAAAGTTGAGGTTTAATCCGGAAAAAAACCGAATATATAACGTGTTTTATGTAACTAACGCAAAAAATTATATTTAGCAACATAACTAATTGGAGTTCAATGGAAACTAATAATTAGCTTAAATAAGTAATCAAGTAAGAAACTTATAGATGTTATATAGTAGCACTGTATTAATATACTGTTTAATTTAGTTTTATAACAGAAAATTGAACCACAAATTTCAGTTTTTTACACAAATACCCAAACTGTCGGTTTTTCCAATTTTATTTTGATTTTTTGTAGATCAAGAAAAATTGAAATTTGTTCCCACCCAAAAAAGTGAGACAGAGATTCTCTCTCTTGTCTTTGCAAAAGACGAAAATGCCCTTTACATCCTCATCAACCAAAATAGCATTAGAAAGCTTGTCAGATTCTAACTTTGTCTCTTGTAAGAAACACATCCTAAAGGAACTTCTTGACACAATTTTATCATTTTTGTAAGAGAATAGAGAAAATAAAAAAATAAATTAAATGGCATAGTGTAGAGTTCATAAAAGTGTCACATACCTGTTCAAGAAAACATAAAGTGCAAAGTCCACCGATTTGGTTGACTGAAATGTCAACCACAAGATTTTGCACCATGCATTTCACCAACTTAACCTACCATGAAAAAAACATTTTTTTCCAAAAGAATAAATTGATCAATAGATAATCAAATCTTTTATTTCAAATTTCAAATTTTTATAAAGTTTTTGTCACAAAGTTAACAGACGTCCTTGTTATACTGCATTTGGCATGCATTAGACTTGAACTGTAATTTTTGTCCCATTGACATCAGTCTGAAAATGTACTATAAATAATAACATAATGGCATTAAAAAATATTTAAAAAAAAATACCTCGGCCCCAATAAGTTGAACATCTTTAACAACAAACTCTGCTGAATTGTTTTTCCCTTCTCTATCAAGTAATGATGCAATTTCATTTATGAGATCATGTGTGTTTACACCAACTGCACTTAGATCAATATCTCCATCTGGAAGATAGGTTTTCAAAGGAACTGATCCATAAGCAAACACCTGAAGAAAGTTTATAAAAAACACTTGAATAAGATCATAGATTGATAAATACTTGATTACTTTCATTTTTTTGTTATTAACAGATTGCACTTAAAAAAAAGATTCCCAATTATAGCATTGCACTTTCAAAAAAAAAAAAAATCTTTGTTCTGAAAAATATAATCAATTATAGAGGTGAGAATTGCTTTGTATTTGGATGACATATAATTGGCAGATTTTTCAAGGTGCAATGCTGTAAATTGTAACAGAAAGAAAGGAAAGTAGAATGTTATAATAAACAAATAAATAAAAGTATGTTTTTTTTTGTATTTAACCCTAAGATGCGCAACAAAATCGATAGAAACAAATCAAGGATCTTGCTATGCTACATGATTGGAAAGTTACTAGGGTTACTGAAATGTTGGTAAATTATGCTTAAACCATATTCATTTTCAAGAATACCAACAAAAATAGCAAAAATAGGAGAACAATTATGTTTGGATTAAAATGTTACTTAAAAAGGTGTAACCTTTAGCAAATTGTTGGAAATGGTTTACGTGTTCAATTGGGTGACGATTTTGTTAGTTTTTATAATATCCAAATCAAGATAGAAACTAGTCAAATTACTACAAAAAACAGACATACAAAAGCTCAAATAGAAACTAACTTATTAAACTCTCAATTTTACAAAAAAGCAACCATTTTTTAGTGTATCCAAACGCGATATGATAGAATGACATGGATCAATAACGAATACTAATCATATACTTATGGAAACTTCATCATATACTTAATATGAAGTATGAAACCCTAGGGATCTTGCAAAATCTTGCTTATTAACCATAACTTTTTGTTCATCCTTTACTTTTTAAGTAATTTAACTGCAGATGTTAAAAGTATGCCTAAAACATGGTATGTCTTCCTGCTAGAACAAGCAAGTGGGGACATTGCCACCATGAGAGACAATTTTACTTTTACATGCCTTTCAGAAAGGATAAATCATCTTGAATTCATGATTCATTGATTCTAGACCTAAATCAATATAAAAGGCTACAAGTCTACAACTTTATAACCCTCAACCCCTTCCATTACTATAAATTATCATAAGAGTAACTAATGAAACAGATTTCCAATAACTTTCCCATATAGTGGCTATGGTAATAACAATTTTTATCAGTGCATATGCTAACAAGCTTACGAAAATGATAGTGATGATTAATTGTAATGGTATTTATAAAAAATAAAAACTTGAAAAGCAACAGATTGAAGACATGGATGGTGTCAAAATCACCTCACAATCAAGATTCTCCTTGAGCAATCGCTGCAAATAATTGATTACTGCATCTCTTTTCCCTTCAGCAACAATAGTTGGCTGAAACTTGGAAATTATCCCCTCCGCAGCTTTCTCAGCTTGGTTCCACCGATGAATCCCGATGAACCAAGGGTTTGATTGAGGCGCTGGTTCCCATGGCTCCTCGGCGATCAAACCCGAAGGAACCACCAGGTCTTGTTGGACTCCCATTGATAAACTAGAACAAAAAAATATACAAAACCCAGATTTTGTTTGAGAAATTTCCTATAAATCCATCTGGGTTTCTCCAAATTGGTGAAATTCGATGAACCGAACAGAGGAGATTTGGAGTAATTTGGATTGGGCGATGACCTTTTTTAATCAAAATTTTGTGGGGATTTTGGGAATCTTCGATCCTTCGACTGCTGAGTAAGCTTTAGCGTTCAAGTACTCAAAAATTGAAGCGTTCGTCGACTGATTCAAGAGGATTTTTGACAATCTTAGCTGCTGCGGCTGGTCGAACTGCCAATTGATTTTTTCTCCTGTCAAACCGTCGCTTGAATTATAAATTTTTTTTTTGTTAGGGCTAAATATTGATTTAACTACTTTTCCTAAAATGGATAACCTAATAAATGATTAATTTGAAAATATTTATTAAATTGGCCTTTTATAAATAAGATATTCAACAAAAATAATTATATTTTTCTGGAATTGTCATTTTGTTCATAATATTAGCATTCCGGACTAGTTGTAATTGTTCCAACATAAAAATATTTCAGAATCTAAAAATACAAGAAAAAATACAACAATCAGGTAAATTCTAAAATGACATTGTATATTTCATACCGAATAAAAGCATTCCAGAATGTTTCGGAGTAACATTTTGGATTCGAGAAAAAAGGTCTAGATCATGAGTTCTTAGTTTTTGGCTATTTGTTTACTTCTTTATGCCTTTTGAATTTGTTTAGAGTTCCAAATTTACATTTGTATTATTACGAGTTAGTTCATATAATAAGTATGTTAGAATATAGGTTTGTAGTTGTGAACAATAGGAGCAAATAGACAGTTATATGTATTATATTGCTCCAGATTAAACATGTTTTCATTAGTCTTTTATTGTTCCAAATCAAACATAGTTATGCTGATTATTAACGATAATGATGTCAGATATTTTGTAATTATTCTAACTACTAACTAGCATACCTCTTAACCAATTATAATTTTTGTTGATCATTATGTGGAATGTGGTATGAATCATTTCACAACAGAAAACTATTTTTATGGCAATGGGTCGCATGGTGTCATGAATAACCAAGTATATAATTTATTGCCTATGACGTTGACTCATCAGGTGTATGTAGAAGGGTGTGATGTTATGTATAAATGTAAGGAAGTTACTCATGATGGTCATGTTTATGATGCTGATGAATCAGGATACAATCTGTAACACCCCGATTTTCAGGTATTTTCAAATTCATCCCTTGGTTTTTATTTGTGTCATTTTAGTCCTTGTGTTGGAAGGAAGTAGCCACAAGAAGCCCTAATGGCAAGATTGTAATTTTGGGGCAGGAGGAGTACGCTAAGCGTACATGTGGTACACTAAGCGTATTAGGGCGCGCCCTAGTACGCTGGGCGTACACATATATACGTTGGGCATACTCATGTCCGAAAGAAACCCTAAGTTTTAGCGTTTGAGGGGTATTTAAGCATCCTTATGGCTCATTTATCCCCACCTTTTCAGCCTCCAAAGCCTTAGAGTCGTCTCTTGCAAAACCCTAGTCCCTCAAGTGTGTGTTTGAGTTAAAAAATCTGTTTTGGTGTGCTTAAGGAAGAAGGTGTTGCATCAAGGAGCATAGTAGTGGAAGCAAGCTTGTGGATCTTGGATCATTACCTTCTTGAGAAGCTCTAGAAGGTAAAAAGTATTTGCATTGATGCTTTGTTTGCTTGGATCTCATTTTGGTAACCTTATGTTGTTCTTCTTGTCTCAAAAGTCACATTTCATGCATGTTTGGTTTTAAGACGTTTTGAGTTGTCCTTCCAGACCTTATGAATGGTCCTAAACCATAAAAATGAAGTCCCTTTAGCTAGGTTGGCTCCATGCATCTTGTAGAAGGTCTTAATGGATTAAGACCTTGTGTTAAGGACTTTATGGATGTGTAAAGTCATAAAGTTGGAAACTTTATGACCCTAGTATGCCTCTGGACCTTGGATCTGAAGTGTGACCTTAAGTGCTGAAGCCATTAAGCACTTAATGAAGAAATTGGGGTTGCAAGGGTACGCCCCGCGTACCCGGTCAGCCACCCCGATGGTGGTATTCTGCGTAGTCTCGTGTACGTTGAGCGTACCTCCAGAGTATGCCCCGCGTATTCGCATGGGTCAGCCCATGTTAAGTTAACTCGGTTGGGTTGACTCGTCTGGGTTGACTCGGTGGGTTTATTGATTTTGACCAAATTTGAGTTTGAGGGTATTTTGGGTATTTTGGGATTTTGATGAAATTGGTCACTTGGTGGATGTAGGCATTGAGCAGAGAGCTGAGATTCGGAGCCGGGCCTTATCAGTTTTGTTTAGCTTGTGATGTGAGTTTTCCTCACTATACTTTCGGGTCGAAGGCACTAAAGGTCGTACCATTGGTTTGATAATCTGATATTGTTGATATACTGAGTATGGAATAGATATACATGCTAGTTTTGATATGCTAGTCTGGTAGATCTGTAGGACTACCTGTAATACTGTCTGTTTATCTGTATATGATATTATCTCTTATATGTCGACATATTGTGTGGGCTGGGTTGAGGTTGTACTACTTCGTGCTATAGCCAGTAAACCATGGAGCAAACCAGATATGAGATGAGGGCCAGGGAGGGCATGCCAGACTCATACTGAGGGCTCATGAGGATTCCATATACGAGCTGAGGACCGGGAAGGGCATGTCAGACTCGTACTGAGGGCTTAGTGGTATTCAGTCCGATGACTGATCAGGCCGGGGAGCAAGCCAGACATAAGCTGTGGGCCCCATGGGCAAGCCAAACTTATGATGTGGGCTCAGGGAGCAAGCCAGACATAAGCTGTGGGCCAAGGGCAATACAGACTTATGCTGTGGGCTCAGGGGGTAATCCAGTCTGTTAGTTGTGGACCCATTGCATGTTGTTATTGTATATGTGCTATTTATTTGTGTATTGGTATTTTGGGGGAACTCACTAAGCTTCAGGCTTACAGTTTTGGATTATGTTTCAGGTACCTCAGAGGATCGCGGGGAAGGCGAAGGCGTGATCGTGCACCTCCTCGAGTTTTGTTTTTTTTTATTAAACCTGTTTTGAAAACTATTTGTAAAGAATGATGATTTATGGGTTGTTTTAAAAGTTTAAAATTTTCATGAATTTTATGGATGTTACACAATCATTTATAATTGATGTGTGGTTGATGATGCAAACATACTTGTACATGGCAAACTAGTAAAAGAGTTCAATTTTTTATCAAGTTATAATGATATTGAATATGATGTTAAAGAAACTGAGCCTCGATGACCCCATAACATTAATTCTCCATTTTATTTTTTCTAATTCTAAACAAACTCAAAGTACATATTAGGGATTGTATCGAATATATGGATTTCATCGAAATAGGGTATGTCTGTGGTTGTATACTTCATGTTTACATTGATCATCTTTATGTGAATATACACGATTGGCTTAATGATGAGAAAGTCGAAGTACTTAGTCCCGAAGACAATCATTCATGAAGATTTGAAAGGTGATATGGATGTTGACATTCACTTAGATGATTTTCACAGTGATATGGGCCTTGACATTGAACTTGATGATTGCATTCCTATGAACAAGACCAATAATGATGTGTTTTTGAGAAAGCTCATCCTCAAGGTGAATCCAAACACAGACAGTCCACCTCATGATGAGCCATATGTTCATATGGATGACAATGAGGCAATAGTTGATGAGCAAACTATTGGATTAGGTGTCTAAGCTCATAACTATAATTGGTATGTACTTGAATTGATAGCAAACACAGTCCTTTTGGGTTGCCCTCAATCGTAGCAACTGGACAAGGAAATTATGAAAAAAGAGATATTGATTTATTATAAGATTAATAAATTAATGTGAATGATTTATTAATATGTTAAAAGGTTAATATGTTAATTAGAAATCATAATGTTTAATTAATTGTTAGCCATAAATTAATTAGAATTGATTTTGGGGTTAATTGTATTAATTATAAAGTGCCGGGACTAGTTTGCAATTATCAAATAGTTGAGTGGAAGGTTCCAGAACCTCCTTGGAAGGGGGTGGACGAAATCTATAGGGGAAACCCTAATGATTTCATCCAAGGGGCTTGGATAAGGCCTTTGGATAAGCTTAGGCCCTAAGCAAAGGAACATTAGGGTTTTCCTTAAACCCTAGATACCTCAGCTATATAAGGAGCCTCCTGGCTCCCAAAATTGGCACTCCTTCTCTTGAAGAAACCCTAGGCCGAAATTGCATACCCTAACCTCTCTCCTCACAAGTTTCCTTCTTGCTAGCTCTTGGGTGTGATTCCATTAGAGGCATTACAATTGTGGTGCTAAGCTTCCAAGAAGATCAAGATCAAAGGATTACCAATTGTTTGCTATAACAATTGAAAGGTATGTAACTCTAAAACCCTAGTTGGTTAATTTCGAAAATAGCCTCTCTCCTTAGGGTTCTTGTTTTGCAAATCAAAGTTATATGTTCAATAGTTAAAACATAGATCCAAAGTAGGTTGCATGTGAACTTAGGAATTGGTTTTCTAGTTTATTTGTTTCACCTAAAACCTATTAGTGGTATCAGAGCCATTGGTTTTGTTTTAAATTGAATAGCTATAATAGTTGAATTTCAAATGAGGGTTTATAGCTATTAAACCCTAAATGGCCATGGTTTCTTTTTTAGGGTTTTTGGTTCAAAGGGTTTTTCGAAAAACCCCCTAGCCTCCATGAACCCTAATCGAAATTAGGGTTAGGGTTTTGAAAAACCTAGTCTACTCCTTTAAATTTCGAAATTTGCTTATGATATTAGGGTTTTATTTTATTTTGGATAATTATTGCCTAATTGGATAATTATTGCCTAATTGGATAATTGAGAAAAATAAGGAAATTATCCTATACCCTAATTTTCGAAATCTAGAGGGATATGGATTAGGATTAAATTAATTGTTTAATTTGATTAGATAATCCTTACAAGATTTAATAAATTAATTAAGAGTTAATTAATAGATAATTATTAAATCTAGTTTTTTGGTTTATTTTAAATTTAAAAAATTAATGGTTTAATTTTCGAAAAAAATTTATATAAACCCTAAGGTTTTAAAAAGTTTAAAACACACCTTATAGATATTATAATTAAAAGTTAAATATTATATATGTATAAGAATTGGTCAGTCAAATCGCTAGTATGTCTCATTCACGAAGCTAGTCTATAATGGGGGTATAGGGAAACTGCCTATAAAATGGTAGTTGAATGGGTGTCCACTCTCACCCACCGCTTCCTTGATTAGTGGATGGTCGATAGCAGAACGGATTTGATAGGACAACTAAATCTC